GGACTAAAGGTATGTGCCACCACACCTGGCTTTAAATTTTTTTTATTATATTTTTAGTGTGTGTATGTATGTGTATGTGTGTTTGTATCTGTGTGTGCTACAGTGTACATGTGAATGGTCAGAGGACAATCCTTGAGAGTCAGTTTTCTCCGTCCACCATTCATGGCCCAGGAATTGAACTCGGGTCATCAGTTTTGGTGGCAAATATCTTAACCTGAGCCATCTCTCCCACCTCCCAAATTTTTTCATGTTCTACATTTATGTGTGTGTGTGTGTGTGTGAGTGAGTGTATTGCCTGCATGTGTGTAAGTGCACTTGTGTCGTGCAGTGCCCTTGGAAGTCAGAAGAAGGCATTGAATCCCCTGGAACTGGAGTTGTGGATGGTTGTTAGCCACCATGTGGATGCTGGGACTTGAGCCTGGGTCCTCTGCAAGAGCCAGATCTCCAGCCCCTCCTGTTCTACATTTCGTTGTTCCCTGACCATCCACACCTAAAATGGGACATTATCCTTGTTTGTCCTTCCCTCTCTGCAGTATCCAATGCATATATGCACATGCAGAAATACCTTCCCTCTATTTTGGCATATGTAAGTGAAACTTTACTGTTTGCAGTGTTTGTGACTACATCTTCATTTAATTATATACTTGGAGATATTTTTGTGCCCATGCTTATAGATCTTATCTTTTACATTATTTTATAATAAAGACAGAAATAACAGTTAATAATGAACAAACTGTCACTGTGTGCTAGAAATTGTGCTAAATGTATCTGTGCTGGTTAGTTTTGGTCACAACTTGACACAAGCTAAAGTCACCTGGGAAGAGGAAACTTCAACTAAGGAATTTCCTACATCATATTGGCCTGCAGCCATGTCTGTGAGGTGTTTTCTTAATTGCTAGTAGATATGGAAGGACTCAGCCCACTGTGGGTGGTGTCATCCCTAGGCAAGTAGGCCTGGGCTATATAAGAAAAGAATCTGAACCCAGATGTGGAGGTACATGCCTTTAATCACAGTACTCAGGAGGCAGAGATAGGCAGATCTCTGCGAGATCCAGACCAGCCTGGTCTACATAGCCAGTTCCAGGTCAGCTGGGGCTAAAGGGAAACCCTGTCTCAAAAATAACCAGAAAAAAGAAAGAAAGAGAGAGAGAGAGAAAGAGAGAGAGAGGAAGGAAGAGAGGGAGGGAGGGAAGGAGGGAGGGAGGGAGCTAGCTGGGCAAGCCAGGGGAAGCAAGCCAGTAAGCAGTATTGCTTTACTTCCTGCCTGGACTTCCAGTTATGACTTCCCTCAATGTTGGATTATAATCTGAAAGTGTAAGTTAAATAAATCCTTTCCTCCCCAAATTGGTTTTGGTCAGCATTTTATCAACAGCATCCAATCTATTTTCTCAGTTATTTTTGAGACGCACACATAGATTTCACAAGTAAACAAAGGAAAGCTCGGAGACATTGTCTAAAGTCATGCAGTAAATTCTGAAACTAGGCCAAGGCTGGGCATGGTGGCACACACCTTCAAGCCCAGTACTTGGGAGACGGAAACAGGCAGATCTCTGTGAGATCAAGGCCAGCCTGGTCTACATAGTGAGTGCCAGGCCAGCTGGGGCTACAGGGAGACCCTGTCTCAAAAAGACCAAAAAAAAAAAATTCAGAAACTAAGATGGGTCCAAAGAATCAAGCAGAGCTACTACATACACATACACGGGATTTCTAGAGACATTTAGCTGAAGGTTTTTGTGGAAAAGGTACTTGAAAGAGGTTACATCATCCAACACACAACACTGTTTTCCTTGAACCCCAGAAGCTCGCTGTAGCCCCTCGTGTCCTCTTCTCCTTCATCCCAAACTCAAGCTATTGTACTACATCTGGATTTTTTTTTAGATAGGATCTTACTATACAGCCCCAGCTGGCCTGAAACACACCACATCCAGGTTGGCCTGGAATTCATAGAGATCTGTTTCTGCCTCCTAAATGCTAAGATTACAGATGCCCACTGCATCTGGCAATTCCTTCCTCTTTCATTTCTTGAACCACAAATTGTTTCTTGAGTGCGTAGCAAAGGAACTTCCTTATTAACAAGCATACATGCTTTATCAGTTTATTCCTTCTCCCTTTCCCTACAGAAGCCTGATGAGGAAATAAAACCATCTTCCTTGGGACCCCCATACATTTTTTTGAGACAGAGACTCCCTGTAGTCCCAGGTGACCTGAACTCACTATGTAGACCTGGATGGCCTTGATCTCACAGAGATTTTCCTGACTCTGCCTTCTGAGTGCTGGGATTAAAGGTATGTTCACCACTCTTGGCTTATTTTTTAAATTTTTAAAAATATTTTATTTTGTGTGTGAATATATTGCTTATATGTATGCAAATGCACCAATATTGTGCAATACCCACAAAAAACAGAAGAGGGTGTCGACTCCTCTGGAACTGGAGTTACAGATAGTTGTTAACTATCATATGGGTGCTGGGACTTGAACCCAGATTCTCTACAGGTCCTCTGCAAGAACAGCCAGTGCTCTTAACCTCTGAGCCTTCTCTTCAGCTCTGCATCCTGTTTATTTTAAAGTTTATCAAATATATGAACTTGCAGACAAGCCTGACCATGAGTAGCTTAGCAGAGTTTGGGTTGAGGGGACTAGCTAGACTAATAGGTATTAGCAGGGTCTAGGGTTTTCTGTTCATTTGTATCTGAACCTAAGCTGGCTTGAGGTACCTTTGAGAATAAACCATCAATTTTAACACTTGTTCATTGATGTAGGAGACCCCAGCCCACTGTGAGTGGCACCATTTCCTAGGCAGGTGGTCCTAACTGTGTAAGAGAGTTAGCTGAGCTGTAGCCTGCCTGCCTGTCATCCAGCAACATCCTCTGGGGTTCCTGCCACTGTAAAGTGAGTTCCTTGGTCAGAAGTAATTCTGTGTGGAATAGCAAGCAGGCCTGACTTGACTTCCCTCAATGATGGACTGTGGCCTGTAATTGTGAGCCAAACAAATCTTTTATCTCCCAAAGGGTGTTTCCTCATGGCAACAGAAATAAAACTGAACAGAATCAAGGGAAAAAATAAAACAGGAATGTAATAATGAGAATGTGGGTGGGAGCTACAGTGCCAGTTAGAATGATCAGGGAAGAGTTCTCTGGCACTGACTGAAAATCTAACAGAAGTCATGAAAGATTGTGGTTTAGTTCAGGGAGGTAGAGTCCAAGTCTGGGTCTGAAATGAGCGTGGAGAAAGTTGCTTAGGGGGTGCTCATAACACCAACAACTGCTGGGGAAGGAAAAGAAACATTGAGTGAAGGGACTGTGCAAGTGGGGTACCATCACAACAGAGCTCCCAGGGACCACCTTCTGCCCATAGTCTTTGAACATTCCAAAGCTTTGTAATCATCCTAAATTGGACATCGATCTGACACTGAATGCTGGATGTCCAAGAAAGGCGTGCTATTAAACAAGGTTGTCTTCTACATGGGTTAGTTGCAAGAGAGGCTAAGAGCTGGGAGCTGTCAAGGATAACCTTCCAAGCAACCAGGCTAACTTAATCAGTTCTACAAGAGGGAGTCTGGGTGGCCCATCAAAGCACCTATAAAAGGAAGGTTATAAAAGATTGAGTCATGCAGCTGTCCAGGAGATAAGCATTCCAGGTAGAGGAAACAATTTCAAAGGCACTAAGACAGAGAGAGCTTCCAGAGAGCAGACACTACAGTAGCTGAAGCCAAGCAAACCACAGTGGCAGAAGCAGGAGATGAAATCAGAATTAGGGGCTAGATGGGTACAAGGTTTAGGGGTTGGCCAAGCATGATTTATACCTTACATTTAAACATTGGTATGACCATTTTGGAGGCTATGTTGAGAATCTATTTGGCAGGTTAAAAGGATTGCCTCATTACATTGACATTTTGGAATAGTTAATTCTGTAATGAGGCCTTTCCTGAGTTTGGTACCCTCCCCTGAATTTGGCATTGGAAAATGTTTCCAAATGTTGTCAAGTGTTCCTTGAGGGCAAAATTGCCGACAATTGGACAATTGGGACTCTCTGACTTAGTGACTTTACTGTAACCTAGAGAGATGATGGTGCTTTGGGTCAGGACAGTAAGTGTGCTGGTGATGAAATGTAGGACTCTGCGTATATTTTGAAGATTGAATTAGCTGATCAGATGTAGGGTCTGAGAGAAAGGAAGGTGTCAAGGATGACTGCAAGGGTTTTGACTTGAGTCTATTTGCTCTGTTTGTTGAAGTTGGGAAAGGTGTGAGAAGCAGCTTTGTGGGAAAACCAGGAGACCAACTTGTAACATAAAAGACTCAAGAAAGTGAAAAACAGTTAGCTCCTCTAGTTTTTTTGTTTTTTTTTTTTTTTTCCTGGCTTTGATAGCTTATTTTCACTGTTACTGTTTTTATTTTTCATTAAACTTGCAGGAGTTTTTGTAGTTTGTTGAGACAGGTCTCTCTGTGTAGTTCCCGCTGGCCTTCAATTCGAGACCTTCCTGCCACTATACAGCTTAAATTTGAATTCTTTTGTACCCAGAATCCAACCGGTTTCCCATTTTCACTACCACTTCTTCTAACAGCAATCCCCTGTCACATCAGAGTCGGGATTACTGTGCGTCTCCCTTCACCTCCCACCTCTCCTAGGCGTTAGTCTCAACCAGGCAGGCAAAGTTGGTGGTCAGGTGTCAACCTGAAGCCGCATCAGGCCATTCCCGTGTCAAACCCCCAAACCGTTCTATGGCTTCAATCATCTCCCGCCTTTCCCCCTTCAGCTTCTTTTGCAGAATGGACAAAGTGGATTATATCAAGGGCTGTAGAGACAAGGCGCCGTCCAAGGCTGGGTGCCAGACCCACGCGGAACAGACAGTGCTAGATCTTTTTGATCAGGACCCTTAAAAGTTTTCCTTCCTCCCGGAGCGCTCAGTCCACCCACCTCCCGAATTCCCGGCAGCGGCGGAGACAGCCAGAGACTACATTTCCCAGGACGCCCAGCGGCGGAGCGGCCGGAAGGCTGTGAGCCCTCCGCGGGGCATGATGGGGGAGTTGGAGATTTCCATCATGGCGGCTTCCATTTCGGGCTACACCTTCAGCGCCGTGTGTTTCCACAGTGCCAACAGCAACGCGGATCACGTAGGTGCCGGGACCCGTGCCGCGGCCGCCCGGGTCTTTCCGCCGCCTCTTCCCGGCAGCGCCTGCGGCCTCGCGGGGAGCTTGGGCGGCCGGGCGCTGGGCTCTGGGACCGGCCCGGTGAGCGGGTGACCCAGGCGGCTGCCACCCGAGCCGCTGCGCTCCGCGGGCCCCTGGCCGGGCGCTCTTTGCCTTCCGCTGGCCTCTGGTCGGTTGTCCTGGGTCCGGCTGACCGGCCCTGCCCGCCCCGCGCAGTGTCAGGAGTCGCCTCTGAACCTGGTGCCCGCCCTCGCTGCGATTTCCGAGGGGCGCCCAGGCTCGGGAAGGAGAGGAACGAGTCCCGGCCACAGGCCTCAGGGGTGGGTCCTGGGTGCCTCGAGAAGCCACGTCTGGCACTGTCCATACTTGGTAGACAGGGTTGTGTTTTCTTCACCTGGTGAATAGGAGTGTGGTGCAGGGTCTCTGCATTTCCTTGAAGTTGCACGTTCAGTTCCTCAGCAAATGTTCTAAGACCACGGAACTAGTCTTACTGAAATAGGGAAGTGACAGACGACGTATGAATGATCAGAAATGCACAATGTGGAGCCCAGAGGGCGAGCTAAGCCGCTCTTTCGATATTTTTATTTTGCGAATTGCCTTTTAATGTCACTGATCTCTGGCTGGAAATTCTTTGTTAAACTAGATATTTTTAAAGAAGATATTTACTTTGCCCACTATATTGGGAGGTTATTTTAAGTGATGTTATTAGTGAATGGTTCAAACTCATTAAATGAGAGTGTGAGCTTTTTGTGGTTGACGTTACAAAGCAAAAGGATAGCTGGAGGAGGGGTTGAGTTTGGTTTGATGTCAGCCGTTTTCACTTCCATTAATAAAGACAGCTTCTGAGAGGTGATGCCGTTAGTGTATTGAATGGAATGACCTTACTGTTCTTTTCATCTCTTCAATGTTGATGACTGATAGGAATATATACGGCGTAGGTGTTCCAGAGGCAACTCTGAACATTGGCGTTTGCTATTGGAGCCAGCTATTGAATAATGTAAGCGGTCTGTGATGCGTCCAGTGTTCACACTACAATTATGGGCAGTGTGGTGTGTCTATTTTTATTCTTTTTTAGAGAGTACCTGGTAATATCATAGTTTATGTTTAAGACAAGATTATTTTAAAGTTGAGGAACTACCTGTTGAAAATAGTCTTTCTACAAAAGGCAGTAGTCTTGTTACCTAGGTTGTTACTAATTGTTTTGTTGGTTTGTTGCCGAGACAGCTATTCAGTTCTTGTGTTGTAAGGAGAAAACAGCTGTAGACTTTGAACAAGTGAAGTGACTGTTTTGACTGTAATTTATTTATTTTTTATTTTATTTTTTTGTCTTTTTGAGGCAGGGTCTCCCTATAGCCCCAGCTAGACTGGAACTCACTATGAAGACTAGGCTGGCCTTGAACTCACAGAGATCTGCCTGCCTCTGCCTCCCAAGTGCTGGGACTACAGGTGTGCACCACCGCTCCTGGCTATGAGTGTCATATTTTTAAGAGTCATGAAATAGTCTTATTTTTAATTTTATTTTTGTAACCATTTGAAAATATAGAAACCATACTTACCTTGCAGGCAGTGGGGTAACAGGTTGGGCTTGTGCTTTGCCTGCTCCTGCTATAATGTTACTATTACTCAGATTACCCAAACCAGTAGATAAACATTCACACTTAGCTTTAGAATGTTTTAATGTCACTGTGTCAAGTTCTATCATTGTTTCTCATGCTGAGGACTATTACGGTTACTAGGAAAATACAGAACACAGTTAAATTTGAATTTCAGGTAAATAATTTTATGCATTTTATCCAAAATTCCCATTTGACTGGGTGCTGTATATATTTCTGCTAATTCTGAGAACCCTAGTCTGTAAAACATAACTCAATAGCTAAGTTGTTAAGGAATTAAAGTTCTAAGTTCTAAAAATTTTTGCTGCTTTTGTAATGAGAAATCATAACTAATAAGACAAATTTATTTAGTTAGTGTTTCTTGAAGCAGTAGTCATAAACAACTCTTTGGGTCTGAGAGAAGTCTTTCTTTTTCTCTGCAGTACTGGGCCACATCCCCAGCCAAGAATTGCCAAGAATTTCTTGGTAAAGGAAATCTGTATATTACTCAGAATTAAAGAACACTCTGAATGTGGTAATTGGGGAGCTTAGGATACGCCCTTACCTCTTTTGGGATTGTTGACAGTGCCAGAGATCAAACCCAGATCCTTACCCATCCCAGCAATCTTTCTTTTTTTTTTTTAATTTTTTTATTATTTTTTTATTTTATGTGTATGAGTGTATGTGAGTACACCCGTGTTGTGCAGTGCTGCGGAGGTCAGAAGAGGGCTTCAGATTCCCCTGGAACTGGAGTTAAGGGCGGTTCGTAGCTGTCATGTGGGTGCTGGGAATTGAACCCGGGTTCTCTGTAAGAGCAGTCAGTGCTCTTAACCACTAAGCCATCTCTGCAGCCCCCTCAGCATGCTGTCTATACTGAACTACACGCCTAGCAGACAGTCCCTCATCCAAATACAAAGTGAGTCCAGAAAGCATTTCTTTCTCCCTCACCTGCAGATGTACACTGCAACTGAAAAAAAAATTTTTTTTTTTTATCTTTTTGAGGCAGGGTCTCCTTGTAGCCCCAGCTGTCCTGGAACTCACTATATAGACCAGTCTGGCCTTGAACTCAGAGATCCACCTACCTCTGCCTCCCAAGTGCTGGGATTAAAAGCGTGCGCCACCACACCCGGCTTGAAAATGTTTTTTAAACTAGAAAGCATCTGTGACTGGTTTGATGGATTGGCATAGAGTTGAAGAGTGTGTAGAACAAGGCATTGGTTCAACAAATTTATGCGACCAATATTTGGCAAACACCTATTTGCTAAGTGCAGCAATATGAATAGGTAGGAAGGACCTGCTCTCGAGCTTTTAGCTGGGGTTGGCATTTATTATTTCCATAAATCTGTAATATGGCAGATAGTGAGAGGACAAAGCAGGGTGTAGGGGACAGGGTGCTAGCAGATGTTATTTCCCATTGTTAGTCAGGCAAAGCCTCTTAATGAGGTACCATTTGAGCAAAGACTGAGCAAAGGGAGGGAGTCAGCCCTGTGGGTGTCCAGGGATGGAGACCCAGGGCAGCTTATCAGTTCTGGAGGAGGGTTATTTTAACACTCAGGGTCTTTTTCAAGCAGCCATGCTTGTTCTGAGTATGGCAGCAAGTGCTTAAACAATTGCAAAGTAATCCCATATTGATTATGGTGACAGATGTTCTCCACAAGTATAAATAAGCTTCTGCATTTATTAAAGGAAAAATTTCATGTGGATGATAGCAAATGCATTGGCTGAAATCCCAATTTTTTATGCCAGCCTACTCCAGACCACTTAATTATCATTGTCTTTATCTTTTCATCAATAGTGAGGGAAGAGGTTAAGCAGTGAAATAAATTACATGCAGTTTCAAGGAAACAACCTTGAGCTCTTTCTGTTTCCTGGGTTTTTTTTTTTTTTAACATGTTGTGAGATTTATTAGGATTTAGGTAATGAGTTCACTTAGAAACAAGGAAGACTTGACTAGAATAATGTCTTGTTATGGAAACTTTTTCCCTATACAATCAATTAATAGATGTACTTCAGATTGCTTTAGTCTACTTATTGGTTTATAGCATAGTAGTGTATATGTCAAGCTTATTTGGACTTGACTAGAATAATGTCTTGTTATGGAAACTTTTTCCCTATACAATCAATTAATAGATGTACTTCAGATTGCTTTAGTCTACTTATTGGTTTATAGCATAGTAGTGTACATGTCAAGCTTATTTGGATCATTATTAAAATTATTATAAAATAATTCCTCTTAATTTTAGTGAAACTGTTTTCTTTTGTTACTTTTAGGAAGGATTTTTGCTGGGAGAGGTAAGACAAGAGGAAACTTTTAGCATTAGTGACTCACAAATCAGCAACACAGAATTTCTGCAAGTAGTTGGTGAGTTGGTCATTGACCTTAGAAATATCCTTTCTTTTTAATGTATATTTACTATTTTTGTTTTGTGCTTTGGGTCTAAACTGATTTTAATTTAAAGTATTAAAAGGGAACTGGAGGGGCTGGAGAGATGGCTCAGCGGTTAAGAACACTGGTTATTCTTGCAGAAGACCTGGGTTCGAATCCCACACCCACATGGCAGCTAACAACTGTCCATAACTCCAGTCCCAGGGGATCCTACAGCCTCTTCTCACCTCCGTGGGCATTGCATGACACGGGTGCACTTACCTACATGCAGGCAATACACGCATACACATAAAATAAAAATAATAAATAAAATTGTTTTAAAAAAAGGAAACTGGAGATGTAGCTCAGTTGGTACAGCCCTTGCCTAGCATGCACGAAATTCTGGCTTCAATCCCCAGAGTGGCACAGAGCCAGGTATGGTGACACACCTCTAATGTGTGCACTCTGGAGGAGGAGGAACGAGGATCAGGAGTTCAAACTAGATGGCAAGTTTGAAACAAGTCTAGAATACTTAAGACTTTGTCTCAAAACTAAATAAAGTATTAAAAGAATGCACAGAAACTAAAATTATGGCACTAATAAATGAGATGAGGACTGATGAGATGACTCAGTGGATAAAGGCACTTAGCTCCAAGCCAGATGACCTGAATTGGATCAATCTCTGAGACCCACATGGGGCAAGGAGAGATCCAACTCCCCATAGTTGTCCTCTGACCTTGTGTGCACTGTGACACACACAAATAAATGTAATTAAAAAATAAATAAATGATACAAGGAGCTGGAGCGATGGCCCAGCAGTTAAGAGTGCTTGCTACTCTTTCAGAGAACCCAAATTTGGTTTCCAGCATCCAGGTCAGGTCAGGTAACTAACAGCCACCTGCAACTCCAGCTCCAGGGCATCCAATGCCTTCTGGCCTCCATGGGCACTATACTCACATGTGCATATATGGACACAGATATCACACAAATGATGTAAGGTGTTATGTCAATGCAAACTTGCAGTGTAAGTGTGTGTCTTCTCTAAAGTGACCATAACCCAGCAACTGGTCTGACTTTTACTGAATCAGTATGTGACTACTTGATAGTCTCCTCTGAAGCTTGATGATCAGGCTGTTCCCATTGCTAATTTCACCTCATGCTATACTGAATGGCTGTGTTGTCTTGATCCTTCCTAGAGGGACCTGGCAAAGATGGTTCTACTTGTTCATAACAGATAACTTGCTGAACCTCCACAAGACTCCATGGGATGAGCCAGTCACTCTGGGGGAGGTGCTGGAACAGAGGAAGGAGTGTTCATAGATGTGTCCCCTCCCTTTGGTTCGGCTTCCTTTTGATAAGTAGCATAGTCCTTTCAGGTGTACCTTGAACAGATCACCAAACAGTAGTCCTGATAAGCAAAATAAGACAAGGAATGTTTCATTTAAGCAGCAAACATATATTGAAGAACCTCTTTAGTCTTTTTGAGGCAGGGTCTCCCTGTAGTCCCAGCTGGCCTGGAACTCACTATGTAGACCAGGCTGGCCTTGAACTCACAGAGATCCACCTGCCTCTCTGCCTCCCGATTGCTGGGATTAAAGGTGTGTACCACCAGCTTGAAGAACCTCTCTTTTTAAAATTTGTATTCTGTGTGTGTGTGTGTGTACATGATTGGCAGGGGTGGGATAAAGGTGGCAAACCAAGGTCAGGGGAGGCCTCCAACTTTTAATGGATTCTGAGGATCAAAGGCAAGTTGCCAGGCTTACTTGGCAAGCATCTTTACCTAGTAAGCCATCTCACCAGCCCTGTTGAAGACCTTCTGTGATTGAGGCCTAAGCTGGACAGAGAAGGGAATACCCAGATGCATTTCTGCCTTCCAGAACAATGGGAAAGATAGGACAAGCACACAGAAATACCAGACAGCATAAGACAAAGCTGTAAGAAATAAAATCTTCTGTCTGAAGTCAGGGACAACGAGTACTGGGGACATCAGGAAGGACATTTATGGAGCCAGCGGCCTGTGTATTTGTGAAGGCACTGAGCAAGGGCTGCATAAAACATGTGGAGAGTCTGCCCTGTTTCTGCATGACCTAACAGATGAGAAGTGAAGCAGAGTGGTGTAAGTTTGGTCACATGGGGGCCAGATTGTCGGCTTAAGACTGTGCTGATAACCTTCTAGTACAGGAACAGGGACAAGGATGAGGACTGAGGTGGAGGTAGGACTGTACCAGCTGTAAATCAAGGCATGAAAGCCACCCACCACAGCCCTGCCCTGCTGCTTAAAGACTTGTTTTCTGTGCAGGGCCTTTCATTGAGGGCCTTGGGGTTTTGCTTAACTTTTTAAAATCCTAAAGAATGGGCTGGCAGGATGGCCATATGGTTAAGGGTGCTTGTTGCCAAGCCCTGAGTTCAGTCCCTGCAAATCATACATGATAGAAGGAAAGAACCAATTCCTGAACTCCAAACTCAACATATATGCCATGACATGAGCTCTCTCACATACACACAAATAATTAATGTAAAAACATTAAAATGTGAAATAATGAAATTGTGTTTCATAAGATGTCTGTGTATGTAGTTATTTATTATTTGCACCTGGGTTTCCAAAATTAATCTAGTAAATAAAGGTTAAATTGACAGATGGAGGGCTAATGACACGGCCCAGAAGGTAAAGCTGTCTGCCACCAAGTCTGATGTCCTGAGATCAATCCCAGGACCCACATGGTAGAAGGAGAGACTGAATTGTCCTCTGACCTTCACATGCCTGCTGGTACACACACACACACATAAACACACACACAATAGATTAAAAAAAAAAAGAATAAACTGCCAGATTGTTACACGTCAGCAAAAATTGTACTGCCCCTGCAAATTCTAGCTGTTGATGTATGTATTTTTGGAGTGCTGGGGATCAGACCCGGGGTCTCACCCATGCTAGGCATGCCCTTGAGGTGCATCCCTAGAGCATGGCTCAGTGCACCTCTAATCTCTCTTGTAAATTACAAAGGGAACTGTTGGACAGCTTGAGGAGACTGTGTATTCAGAGCTCAGAACTTACTCCAGGGCTTTCAGTAAATGGAATGGTGTTTCCTTGAGCCTAGAAGATGAGTTTTTCCTTTTTCCTGCATCCTAGGTAGTATTTTTCCTACGCATGTTCGGTTAGTGTCAAAAGGAGGAAATTTTCTAGAGAAGGTTTTTTCATTTGCATCACTGTATCAGGGTCACAGCTAGCCAAACAAACTCATTTTTCCTATGGAAGTTTTTCAATTGTACGTGTGTTTCGGCAGCATTCACACAAACACAGAAGCTAATGAGAATAGCTCTGTCCTTGAAGGCTCTGGTTTCATTTTAATTGAAGTAAAATTAAAGTCTAAAACTCTGACGCTGCAGCTTTTTAAACAGTAGGTGATGAGTCACTCTGGGAGAATGTGATAAATAGAATTGAATGGTCAATTAGTTTCATGGTCTTATAAAGAAACCAGCCCATAACCCCCTGATGAGCTTGAAGAAATTGTTCATTCTGCCTAATCACAGCATCTTTTCAGAAGCCGTTAGGATCTGCCTTATAAATGACTGTTTCCCTCAATACCAACTGTCTTTGAAAGAGTTAATAGACTTCTAGAATTCCAAACACCTGGCCTGAGTTGTCAGGAGTTGTTAGCTGGTTATTGATGGTAGGATGGCTAAGACTCTTCTCTCCCAAAGCTGTCCTTACAGCTTTTATCCTATTTGATTAAATGCTTCCAGTCAGTGGTTACTTTTTCCTATGAAGCTTTGTTACATAGGTAAGATTGAGTAAGGCACACAATAGCTGAGCATTCCTGAATAAAAAACTCTCAGACGGTGCTCATCATACAGGGACAAATGGAAGCAGAGCTTGTACTCTCCAGCCTGCTTTGTTCTGAGACTGGGTCCCTGGGTGTAATGGGAAATAGCACTGCTGTGGTCTCTGGAGTGCACAGCACCTGTGTACTAAACTAGCTTGAGTCTTTGAAATTTGGGTTTTAAAATCTTGACCTATTTTATAGTTGCCTCTGTCTAACATGATTAACTGAGTTGTACTCCTCTTTCTGGTTACAGAAATCCATAACCATCAGCCCTGTTCAAAACTTTTTAGGTAAGCAACTTGCTTTTCTGTAGTTTCAGTCCTCACTGAAAAAAACTGATTAGAACTTATGAATTTAGGCCTCTAACTGATTATGTCATAAGTATAATTAAGGACACCCCAAATCTATTTAAATTTTTTTTTCTGACTTTTAGGGTTTTTTTTTAATTTATTTTTTCTTTGTTTTGTTTTTGAGAAAGGATCTTGCTCTGTAGCCCAGGGTGGCCTTGAACTCACAGTCTTCCTTGCCTCTGCCTCCCAAGTGCACTACCACACTTGGCTCCAAAATCTTATTCATTGAATGCTAACTATATGCATAGGACCGTGTTTGAGTGGGAGATGGGGAGAACGCACATGTAGATCATGGCCCGTGGGATTTAGAATCTAACTTTCCCCTCTGCCTCCCTGTAAACATTCCTTACATAGAAAAGAAAGTTAATCAAGGATCACATAGAGATAAAACAATTTGATTGGTTTGAAGAAAAAAAAAGTTGAGTGGTCAGTTTTAACCAAAGAAGCTGGGAACACTGGTTTATGCCTGTAGTCCCCACTGTGTAGGAAGCTGAAGCAGGATGACCACCTGAAGACAGGTGTTCAAGACAACCAGAGCAATGTGGCAGAATGTCTGAAAAAGGAAAAAGGAGGGGCCAGAGAGATGGCTCAGGGGTTAAGAGCACTTTCTGCTCTTGCAGAGGACCCAGGTTCATTTCCCAGCACCCATGTCAGGCAGCTCACAACTGCCTGTATCTCTAGTTCCAGGGGATCTGATGCCCTCTTCTGGCTCCTTGGGCTCCTGCACACATGTGGTATATATATATACTCACTCAGACTCACACACATACACAAAAAATTCTTTTAAAGGAAAAGGAATATAAAATGTTCTTTCTGTGTTGATATATAGAAGTTCTATATTATGATCACTGAGAACAGAAGCCTTCAGAGGAAAAAAGCAACAAGAGAGTGATGTCTGCAGTGAGAGCAGTGAGGGAAAGTAGATTTCTCCTAACCACCACCCATCACTCTGCCAGTTCTATTGCTGTCGTGATTGAACATAGGGTCTTGCACATGCCAAGCAAGCCCTCTACTACCCTTGAACTATATCCCAGTCCTCTCTTCCATCTGAGGGCTCCTTTATGTATTTCTGAAAACTCCCTGAGGCCCTACTTTTATCTCCTTCCCAGAAGCCAGTGCTTTCCTTCCCGTGTGCTCACATAAGGACTCTTCCGTGATTTTGTTTTGTTTGAGACAGAGTCTTATTATGTATCACTGGCTGGCCCTGTAGACTAGGCTGCCTTGAACTCGCAGAGATCCTCTTGCCTCTGCCTCTCCAGGGCTGGGATTCAGGTGTGTTAACCATGCCTGGCTTCTCTTCAGTTCTTGATTAACGCATCTCCCCTTCATCCCTGTCAGGCCCTTTGCCTGGTTCTTCCTGCTGTTTTTCTCTTTGAGCCTTTACTCTGATGCTTCTGCAAATACCCAGGCAGCCCTGGGACTTAGATTCATCCCCACACACACCCTACTGGCTTTGTCCTCATGCAAGATGGCTAAACAGAGCCACAGAGTAACCAAGAGCATTGTGTCTTTCCATTTCCATGTAACTGAAAGAGGAGTGGGGAAGCCAGACAAGCACCCATGGGTTCATCCAGAAAGATTATCAGGCCTTGGTCCACACATTGCCTCTGTCTGGTTTGGATGTGCCTGTTCTGGGCCTGACTGTCAGAGCTTCCGTGGGCATGCCACACCCTGCTGAAGGAATCCTTCAGCACTGTCAGTGCAGGAGATCCAGAACTAGATCTGACTCAGATGTCTTGGAAATCATGCCAAACTTCTCTTTTTTTCTTTTTTGTCTCTTTGAGACAGGGTCTCCCTGTAGCCCCAGCTGTCCTGGAACTCACTATGTAGACCAGGCTGGCCTTGAACTCACAGAGATCCGCCTGCCTCTGCCTCCCAAGTGCTGGGACTACAGGCGTGCGCCACCACGCCTGGCTAGAAGGATGGTATTCTTAAGACCATGCCCAGAGATAGGAAGGGTCCATACACACATCAGTACATCTGGGCTGGTCACATTCGTCTATTTTGGTGGTAAGCACATTGTTTGAAGCTAGTCAGACTTGACTTCAAATCTCAGCTCTTTGTCTACTGTAATTTTGGCAAGTCAGTAAACTTTGCTATCTGTTTCCATAAAAATAGGAATACAGCGGGGCATGGTGGCACATGCCTTTAATCCCAGCAGAGGCAGGCAGATCCTCTGTGAGTCTGAGGCCAGCCTGGTCTACAGAATGAGTTTCAGGCAGCTGAAGCTACAGGGAGACCCTGTCTCAAAAAGACCGCCCCCCCCAAAAAAAAGAAAGGAATAAAACTTGTTGAATTGTTGGGCTGAGCATTACCAAGGCACTGAAATCAGAATGATGTGAAATCATGGGAGAAGGCAAGCAGGGAAGGTCTAATAAGCCTTCCACAGATGTTCATTTCCCGTCTTTATTTCTCATATAAGCTGCTGTTGTCCTTTTCTCATGAGTAATTGATACTTAGAAACAAAGAATTCTAAGCCTTTGAAGCTGCACGTTTTGTAATTACTTGATTCCTTCCCACACATGGAAAGAATATCTTTTGAGTAGTGTTTGATACAAAGTATAACTTCCTATGAAGAAAGCACTTGGACTGATTTCTTTGTGCCTTTGTCTAGAAGCTGTTATATACTCTATAGATGCCTGTGGTTAAGCATGTCTGTAGGATTTTAATAATTTTTTTTCTTCTTTAAAAAAACAGTTTTTATGACTATGCAAGCAAAGTTAATGAAGAGAGTTTGGACCGAATTCTTAAAGATCGGAGAAAGGTATGTTCTCTTTGTTGCTCAGTCTGATTTGGAGATAGTCCCTTGTCTCGGCTCAAACTGAAGAGCAGTAAGCTGGAACGGGGATCTCATGCTAACAGTGCTGTGTTGCGTAGATTTCTTTTTGGTGCTGGGGATTGAACCCAGGCTTTGCATATAGGCAAATGCTAACCCTGAACTACACTTCTAACCCTGTTAAGTAGGTTTTAAAGGTAAATTACAAATGTGGGACAGTATTTACACCATATCAATAGGGAAAATGTTAGATATTTATAGTGTGAACCCATTTAGGTGAAAACTGGAAGAAAAAATGAAGTTTAATCCAGAAAATTGACTCTGGATGGTTCATTCTTTATGATTTGAGAAATCTTTTTTTTTTTGGTCTTTTTGAGACAGGGTCTCCCTGTAGCCCCTGCTGACCTAGGACTTGCTGTGTAGACCAGGCTGGGCTTGAGCTCACAGAGATCTGCCTGCTTCTGCCAATTTGAGAAGTCATTTTGTTTTTGACAGTTTCATGCCATATATACAATGCGTTTTGATCATATCCACTCCCAACTGCCCCTCCTCCTCCCCCTTCCTACTCTCCAAGACCCCCACCTCCAAACATGTGCCCCTCCTACATTCAAGTCTACCTAGTAATTTATTTTTATTAATCTTTTGAGGTCTCCCTCTAACTCCAGCTGCCCTGGAGCTCACTATGTAGACCAGGCTGGCCTTGAACTCATAGAGAGCCACCTGCTTCTACCTCCCAAGTGCTGGAATTAAAGGCGTGTGCCACGATGCCTGCCTTTTAAATTTTTTTTTTAAGATTTTATTTTTATTTTTAGTTATGTGTATATGTGTGATCTGTGTGTGGGTATATGCACACGGAGGTTGGAAGCATCAGATCCCCTAGAAGCTAGAGTGGCTGTGAGCCACCCAGTATGGTTGCTGGGAATTGAATTCGGGTGCTCTGGAAGAGCAACAAGTTCTCTTAAGTCCTGAGCCATCTCCACAGTTCCTTTTTTTTTTAACCCACTAAGTCCAGTTATTTCTGCCTGTGTGCACATGGGCAACCTTTCAGTGGTCACATCCTGGAAGAAAATGACTTCCCCTCCTCCCTAGCAGCTTATAATTGCTGTAGCTATAGTGGAACCTCATAAATGTGCATTGGTTTTTTTCTTTTGTTTTTTGAGACAGCTGTAGCCCCAGCTGGCCTGGAACTCGCTATATAGACCAGGCTGGCCTTGAACTCACAGAGATCTGCCTGCCTCTGCCTCCCAAGTACTGGGACTAAAGGCATGCACCACCATGCTCGGCATGTGCATTGATTTTTATAATCAAGAAAATACTTCTGAGAAATGGAAGTTGTGCTGAGGTATAGTGGCACATGCCTACAGGCCTAGAAGCTTAACACATGGGAAATGGAAGTTGGAGAAAGAGAAGTTCAAGGTCATCTTTGATTACATATTTAAGGCTACCACGGGCCACATGAGATCCTGTCCAAAAAAATAAATAAATAAAAGTAGGGGCTGGAGAGAGAGCTCAGTGGTTAAGAGTGCTTGCTACTCTTCCAGGGGACCTAAATTTAGTTCCCAGGACCTACACTGAGTGACTCATAACAGCCTATATTTCTAGACCCAAGGGATGAGATGCTCATCTGGCTTCTATGGGCACTTGCATACATGTAGAATACACACATACACAGATATACATGCATGTACAAAAATAAATTTTTTTAAAATAATTAAAAATTTTTTGTGTGTGTTGTCTTTTTAGGACAGGGTCTCCCTATAGCTCCAGCTGGCCTGGTACTCACAGAGATCCACCTGCCTCTCATGCAATGCCTGCGGAGGACAAAAGAGGCTGTTGGATCCCCTAGAATGGGGATTAGGACAGTTGTTAGCTGCCATGTGGGTTCTGAGATTTGAACCTGGGTCTTCTGCAAGAACAACCAGTGTTCTTAACCACTAAGCCATCTCTCCAGACCCAAATAAAATATTTTTTAAATATTTTATTTATTATTTTTATTTTATGTGTATGAGTGTATTGCCTGTATGTATGTGAGTGCACCCATCTCATGCAATGCCGTGGAGGTCAGAAGAGGGCTTCAGATTCCTCTGGAACTGGAGTTAAGGATGGCTCGTAGCCTCCACGTCGGTGCTGGGAATCAACCCCAGGTCCTCTGCAAGAGCAGTCAGTGTTCTTAACTGCTGAGCCATCTCTCCAACCCCATAAAATATTTTTTAAAAACTAAATTGGCCAGGTGTGGTGGTGTATGCCTTTGATCCTAGCACTCAGGGGGCAGAGGGAGGGGGATTTCTGTGTGTTCAAGACTAGGCTGGTCTATGTGTCAGTTTCAGGCCATCCAGAGCTACTAAGACTATCTCAAAAAGAAAACAAAACTAACAGCTGAAAGAGGGAATCTATAGAGATGGCTGAGTGGTTAAACACATATTCTTCCAGAGGATTCAAATTTGGTTCCCAGCACCCAATGTCAAGGGGTTCACACTTCTCTGTAACTCCAGCTCCAGAGAATTTGATGCCCTCATCTGGCCTCCACCTTCACCTGCATATACAGGACACACACACACATTTAAAAGCTATCTAAACCAGAAAGGACTGGGAAGAGAGCTCAGTGGATTAAGTGCTTGCTGCACAAACATGAGGATCTGAGTTTGGATCCCCAGGACCTACATAAAAGCTGGGCACAACAGCACCTCCCACAGCACACATGGCAATTATGCCCCCCCCCAATAATACATACAAGTGCATGCACACAGTTTATTTTCAAAATTTTAAAAATTTGTCTGTGGGGATATATTTATGATGTATGATATATTTATGATGGCGTGTGGTGGTCAGAGCACAAGTCTGTGGAGTCAGTTTCCATCCATCTTTTCCTCTTTCCAGAGTTCAGGTTGCCAGGCTTTCAAAGCAAGTACCTTGATCTACTGTGCCATCCCATGTTCCCCCACTTAAAAAGGGGGAGAGAAAAGAAGGAAAAAAGAAAAAGAACAGCAGTTCCCAAAATTTTAAAAGATGTCTACAAACAGCCAAGAAACAAATGAAAAGATATTCCACTTTAACCTGAAAATACAAATTGAAGCAGTGAGATGCCATTCTTTAGCCCATGACATTGGCAAAGTGGGTTAGAAAGACTGGAAATCCTCAACTGATAAGGTGGTGGGGAGCAGGGAAGCAGTGGTCGGTGAGTGGAAATTCTTGTAGACATTTGGTAGGGCATACTTTTGTTTGTTTGCTTTTTGGTTTTGGTTTTGTTTGTCATGTAACCCAGGCTGACTTGGAACTCCTGTGTAGTCAAGGGTGGCCTGGAACTTCTAATCTTCCTCTCTCAACAGTCCAAATGCTGGGAATACAGGCATGTGTCACTACACCTAGTTTATGCAGTTGTGGGGATTTAACCCAGAGTTTCAAGCATGCTAGACAACCATTCTACCAACTGAGCTGCATTTCCACCCCCAAGAAGAGCAGTTTGCTCTGAAAAACAGCAGTTTTGAGTACTCAGCCTCAGCTCTAGAAATCTGGCCCAAGAGAAGAATTATATGAAAAGCTGGAATTATTGAACATTTTCACTCTGCCAGGCTGTGTTCTAAGTTCTTGCCATATACTGACACATCTATTACTGCAACAGCCTATGAGACAGATCACTCATATGACACTTTAAGCTACTCAAGCAATTTGCTTAAGATCCCAGCAATTACTCATTGAATGAAGCTTATGGTAAAGTCTAGCCTTTTGATCCCAGGTACAAGGATGTTTGTTGCTTCGTGATTTTTTTTTAAAGCAATCTATATGTCCATCAGCAGGGAGTAAGTGAAAGAAAAAAGAACTCACTATGTGGACCAGGCTGGCCTTGAGCTCACTATGTGGACCAGGCTGGCCTCGAAATCACAGAGGTCCTCCTGGCTCTGTCTCCCGAGTGCTAGGATTAAAGGTGTGTGCCACCACATCTGACTTTACTGTTTGTTTTATTACATTTATTTATTATTTGTGTGTGTTTGGGTATATGTGTACCACAGCACATTGGTAGAGGTCAGAAGACAACTTGTGGGAGTCAGTTCTCTTTTCTGAAGTGGGTTCCAGGAATCGAGTAGGTCCTCAGACTTTACCCACTGAGCCATCTTGACTGCCCCTGTTTGTTTTTTTAGTGTTACATTAAACCTGGGCTTCATGTGTTCTAGCACCCTACTATTGAGCTGTGCCAGGAGAAAGCAATATTAGATACAGCCTGAGCCCAGTTAGTCTGAATGAAGAGTTCAAGTGCACAGAAAAGCATTTGGAAGAAAGTCTGTAAAGATTTTTTTTCAAAGATTTTTTTTTTTTTTTTTTTTTTTTTTTTTTTTTTTTTTTTTTTTTTTTTTTTTAGTTCAAAAGCAGAGCTGATACTTAGATGACAAAGATATTTATAGTTTATTCTAGTTTGGGTCCTCCCTTCCCCAGAAAGGAGCACACTTATGCCTTCACCTCAGAAGAGTGTGTTACCTACAAAGGTCTGCTTTGAATATTACAATTTAGATGGAGTGAATGTTTTTGATATAAAAAATCCTATATGGGGCTGGAGAGATGGCTCAGCAGTTAAGAGCACTGGCTGCTCTTGCAGAGGATCCAGGTTCAGTTCCCAGCACCCACATGGCAGCTAACAACCATCTGTAAGTCCAGTTCCAGGGGATCCGACACCCTCTTCTGACCTCCATGGGCATTGCATGACATGGGTGCACTTACATACATGCAGGCAATATATTCACACACATAAATAAGCCAGGCATGGTGGTGCATGCCTTTAGTCCCAGCACTTGGGAGGCAGAGGTAAGCAGATCTCTAGGACTTGGAGGCCAGCCTGGTGTATATAGTGAGTTCCAGGCCAGCTAGGGCTACAGGGAGACCCTGTTTCAAAAAGACCAAAAATACATACATACATACATACATACATACATACATACATACATACATACATAAATTTTTTTAATCCCACGTTGCGCTGGAGAAAAGGCTCAGTGGGTAAAGTACTTACCTTGCAAGTGTAAGGGCACAAGTTTGGACTCCTAGAACCCACATAAAAGTTAAGTAGGCATGACAGCCTGCCTGTAGGAGCAATAGGAGTGGAGACAAGATCTCAGAGCAATCTGACTAGCCATTAGCCAAAACAGTGAGTTCCAGGTTCAGTGAGAGAAATATATAAAGTAGAAAGTGATCAAGGAAGATACTTGATTTCAGCTTGAGGCCTCCACATATACATGCACACATGTGCATATGCATTTATACACACATCTGTCATATCAAGCATGCATACATGTATGCTACACATATGCTACATGCACATGTATTTTTTTTTTACATATACAATGTAGTCAGGGACTTAGTACTATCTTATCAGAATCCATACTGTGTTTACAAAGTTTCCACAGGCCTCAGGTTTTAGGCTAAGTCTGTACAAGGCAAGCCTGTGAGAGAATTTGTATCTCTGGAATCAGAACATCTATGAAATAAACAGCAGTAAGCACAACAACCTTCTCACTGGCATCATAAGGACCAAAAGAACACAACTGAGGGCCAGTATATGTACCCAGGGTTGGGAGAACCCTGCTTTGGCTCCAGAAAATGTAAGTGAAATTGAGAAAGGAGAAAAAAGTCTGTATGCCATGGAGCATGTGTGATGGTCAGAGGACAACCTGAAAGACTTGTTTCTCTCCTATCATATGGGCTCTGGAGATCAAACTCAGGTCAGCAGCCTTGATGACAAGCGCCATTACCTCTTGAACTGTCTCTCCAGTCCACACATTTGATATTGTATTAATTTTTGGTCTTTGCACATTGAGAAACCTTTTACTGTTACCAATTTTTTGTGACCCCCACACTCACTTAGGCAGTGCTATGGGATCTTAACACAAAGTATAAGAAACTGCTCTGTGTGACAGTAGATTCATTTTCTAGAATTTTATATTTAAGAAAACCCTTCTCCATACTCTTGAGGCTGACTTCTTTGACAGAGCATAATTATTTTTGGTTTGCTTCATGGTGTACATACCAGTGATTTGTTTCTTTTTATGACTGCATAGGATATGCATAGTGATATACCACAGTTCTCTCCATTTATTCACTTGACAGACACTGAGTAGTTTTCATTTCTGGGCTATCCAACATAAAGTTGTCATGAACATTTGTTTACAAGTGTTTATATGGACACATTGAGTTAGATGAGTGAGATTCCCTACAACTCTTACTACTTTATTTCTTCTGTTTTATTGCAGAGAGTTATTGGGTGGTACAGATTCCGGCGAAACACACAGCAACAGATGTCCTACAGAGAGCAGGTCATCCACAAGCAACTGACACGCATCCTCGGCGTGCCAGACCTCGTCTTTCTTCTGTTCAGCTTCATCTCTACCGCCAACAATTCCACTCATGCTTTAGAATATGTTCTCTTTAGACCAAATCGCAGGTAAAGAAAGCTGTCCTGCCAGCCTGTATATAAAAAGAAAGATACTGGGTAAACCAAGCTTTAGGACCTTCGTCTGGCTCCCTGGCAGCCTGCATCTGTAACCCCAGCACTGGGAGAACAGAGGCAGGTGGGTCCCAGGGGCTCGCTGGCCCGCTGGTCTGACTGAAATGATGTGCTCCAGGCTCAGTGGGAGATCCTGTCTGAAAAGAATAAAGTAGAGAGTCAAACGTCAGGGCGAAGACACCTGACGTCATCCTCCAGCTTCCACATGCACATGCACACGCCCAGGCATGGAGAGAGAGAGAGGGGGGGGGGAGAGTTTCAAGTCAGAAAATGTATTTCCTTGTCACTTGTTTATATGAATTAAAGGGATTAGAGATCAACAAGCGTTAGCTAACATGCTTCTTGTGGGAAGATTCTTACAGGTAAAACAGGTAGAAACTTCATTTGCTTCTTCATAAAACATGCAGAAGTAGAGTTTTATTGCTTTCAAAGTCTAATTGTAATTTTAGAACATACAAACGAAAGACAAAACTGTAAAAAATGGTCCACCTACTGGTTAATGAGAGTTTTGCAATGCAAACTTGTTATTAAAATGAAGAAAAAAAACAAAATTATGTGACCATATCTTCTGCCTGTAAATAGAATAAATTAAGTCAATATCCATGAAAATAGTTGTTAAGCAATCATTTGTCAGATAGCATTAATTATTCCCTAGACATTTCTTTAGCACTTGTCAGTCACAGTGGACACGCAGTCTGTAGGATATGGCCTCTGCCCAGGGAGTGTGCAGTTGAGTTTCTACTTTGAGGGAAGGGAGACTTGCTAACTCCTGTATCCTGCGTGGTCTGTACAAATAGGTGCTCTGTGGCACCTTCTTATAGTTTACCAGTGCCAGAGGCTAAGAATCCTATTGCTAACCCCCATTTGTTTGTTTTGCTTTGGGTTTTGTGTGTGTGTGTGTGTGTGTGTGTGTGTGAGTGATAGGGTCTCACCTGTGTGTGTGTGTGTGTGTGTGTGTGTGTGTGTGTGTGTGTGTGAGTGATAGGGTCTCACTGTATAGCCCTGCTGGCCTGGAACTATATAGACTAAGCTGACCTCACACAGAGATCTCCTGTCACTGCCTCCCAGTAAGTGTTTGGCCTGAAGGTGTGCACCACCACACCCAGCCTGCTTTTGTTTTTGAGACAGAGTCTTTAATCGGATGACCTGGAATTCATTATGTAGATCAGGTGGGTCTTGAACTTGGGAGTCTCCTCACTCTGCTGCTTTATTTTCTGAGACAGCATATCATGTATCTCATGCTGGCCTCAAATTAGCTGTGTAGCCAAGGATGACCTCCTGCCTCTGCCTCCTAAAGAATGCTGAGATTATATGTGTGCCACCATGCTTGGTTTATGTGGTTCTGGATATTGAGCCTAGGAATCTGTGCATTCTAAGCAAACACTCTACTAACTGAGCCACATCCACAGCCTCCAACCCCAATTCTTAAAGGAATACTTTTAAAACTTGATATAAGCCAGGCGTGGTGACACATGCCTTTAATCCCAGCACTTGGGAGTCAGAGGCAGGTAGATCTCTGTGAGTTCATGGCCAACCTGGTCTACATAGCAAGTTCCAGGCTAGCCAGAACTACATCAGTAAGACCCTATCTCAAGAAAAAAAACAAAACTAAAAACACCAACAAAAAGCCTTAATACTGGGTTTGGTGACACACACCTGTGTGCACAGCATGGCGGTAGGGGAGGGAGGGGACTATTTGAGTCCGTGAGTTCAACACCAGCCAGGCAGCATAGCAAGAACTAGGCAGATGGAGAGTTTGAAGCCAGCTCGGGCTACATAATGAGAGCCTGCCTCAAACAAACAAGAAACCTGCTTTTTACACTCTTCTCAATTCTCCCATAGGTATAATCAAAGGATATCACTTGCTATTCCCAATCTAGGCAACACTAGCCAGCAAGAGTACAAAGTGTCTTCAGTGCCAAATACTTCCCAGAGTTATGCCAAAGTTATTAAAGAACATGGGTAAGTTGAAAGGTAAAATGAGTTCTGTTCTTTGGTCAACAATATTTCCTTTGTTAATTGTTTTCAAAGTCCAAGGAGAAATGTTAAGTCAAGTTGTTTTGACTGAAACTGAAGAAGCAGAAAGGTGATTGTCCAGACCTCCACCATGTATCAGAATTGATTCTTACTAAACCATAGAAATGATTCTGAAGCTGAGTCTGGTCACTCTCATCTGTACTCCCAGCATTCCAGACTGAAGTGGGAGGACTGCCACAAGTTCAAGGCCGGTGTGGCCTAAGGATGAGACCCCAACTCAAAAATCCAAAAAACTGGGACTGGAGAGATGGCTCTGTGGATTAAATACTTGCTTTGCAAACATGAGACCCGAGTCTGGATCCCCAGTACCCGTGTGAAAAAGCCTAGTGAGGCGGTACTCATCTGTAACCCCAGCACCAGGGGCTCAGATAGGCAGATCCTGGGGGCTTACTGGTCAACCAGCAAAATGGCCAAAATGATGAGCTCCCAGTTCCCTAAGAAGCTCTGCCTCAGAAGTAAGGTAGAGAGTGATAGAGGACATCACCTAATGGTGACTGCTGGCCTCCACACAAGCATGCACAGGGGTGTGCACCTTCACACACACATGCACATTCATGCATAGACTACACACATTCACAAACACATGCACACATACACAAATAAAGACTCTCTGAAAGCCTGAAAGTATAGCCTCAAAATATGTGTGTGTGTGTGTGTGTGTGTGTGTGTGTATGTGTATGGAAAGATGGAGATTTTAAATATATATTTAAAACAAGACTCATTTTGTAGCCCTGGCTAGCCTCAAACTCAGAGAGCTGCCTGCTCTACCTCCCCAGTGCTGGGATTAAAGGTGTAAGCCATCATGCCTGGCTCAAAATTTTTTATTCTTTCTGAAAATATAATTTATTTTTGCTGCATTTTTCCTGAGTTTTGGTTTTGGTGTGTTTGAGACACGGTCTCAAACCTGTCTCTCTTGAGATAGCTGTAGCTGCAGTTGGCCTGGAACTCACTGTGGAGACCAGGCTGGTCCTGAACTCACAGAGATCCTCCTGCCCCTGCCTCCCAAGTGCTAGGACTAAAAGGCATGTGCCACCACGCCTGGCTTTTCTCAGTTTTTAAAAGAGAAGCATAATCACTGAAAAATATATGCCTTTCTGTGCTATTTAAGGTTGTTGGGATGTGTTCTTTATTTCTCTTCTGTCACTGCAGCAAGATGGGCATTTTACTGCTTAGACATTGTCACCTTGGAATCAGTCCTTCATACAGTATGGTGGAAACGACAGGAAAAATGCCTCTCCTGTCCCTGGCAACATTTGTAACCATGACATCTTTCTTCTGTCTTCCAGTACTGATTTTTTTGACAAGGATGGAGTCATGAAAGACATCAGGGCGATTTATCAGGTTTATAATGCACTTCAGGAGAAAGTGCAGGTAAGTAACGTGTTTGCTGGTTTCCTTCCTTTTATATTGCAGCCTTTAATTCCACTTTCACTTGTTATAATCTTTTAACTGACAGATGAACTGTGGTCAGAAGTCAGAATGAACTTTGCTAAAATGTCAGATCTTCAGTTCCTCCTGCCACCCTACAGGATTGATACTGTTGTGTAGAATGCTTATGACTCCATTTGCAGCAGTACTTTTTCTGGGAAAATGCATTCTGAGTCTAGAAGGCTGCTAAGAACACAGCTGACTCTATCAGTTGTGTTGTAAGGGAGACAGCACCAGAAGCTGACCCTGATGCAGCTCTCCTCCCATCCTGTCCATCCCCTTTGCTGAGTGGGAGGATTGCAGCGGAATCTGTTCCTAGTCATTCATGCAACAAATATTTATGGAATCCTCACCAAAGAGCCAGATACTGAGCTGGGTGCAAGCAGTACTCTCCCACATCCTTCTCACCAGCCTGCATGTGTCTGAGAGCAGTTTATTCCCATACTTTAAGCATAGCAGAGCCTTTGACCTTACCTTTGAGAACGAGAGGGAACAAGGACATCATGAATTCTCTTAGGGCAGAGAAGACCCCAGAGACTAGAGAAGAGTTGGAGGCAGCATCTAAATGGGGGAAGTGGACTGCAGAGACAAGAAGACCACTGGTGCTTGCTGGCTGCTAGCCTGACCAACAAATGGCTCAGAGTTGAGGAAGAGACCTTTTCTCAAAGGGATAAAATAGAGGGTCTAGAGAAATGGCTCAGTGGTTAGGAGTGCTTACGGCTTTTTCAGAGGACCCGAGTTCAGTTCCTAGCACCCAAGTCAGGTGACTCACACCTGCCTGTAACAACAGCTCCAGGGATCCAGTGTCCTCATTTGGCCTCTGCAAGCACAAACCCACACTCAGATATACACAAATACACATAAAGATTAAAAATTGAGGGGCTGGAGAGATGGCTCAGTGGTTAAGAACACTGACTGTTCTTGCAAAAGAGCTGGGTTCGAATCCCAGCACCCACATGGCGGCTAATAACTGTCTGTAACTCCAGTTCCAGGGGATCCGACAGCCTTTTCTGTCCTCCGTGGGCATTGTACGACATGGGTGCACTTCCATACATATACTAAATACACACATACACATAAAGTATTTTAAAAAATTAAAAATTGAAAAGGAAGCCAGGTGTGGTGGTGTGTGCCTTTAATCCTAGCACTTGTGAAACAAAGGTAGTCATATCTCTGTGAGTATGAGGCTAGCCTGGCCTACATAGCAAGTTCCAGGCCAGCCAGTGCTACATAGTGAGATTCTGTCTTTAAAAAAATCAAAAAAGTGCCAGGCATGGTGCCACACGCCGTTGATCCCAGCACTCGGGAAGCAGAGGCAGGTGGATATCTGTGAGTTCAAGGCAGCCTGCTCTGCATAGCAAGATCCAGGTCAGTTGGGGCTACAGGGAGACCCTGACTCAAAAAAAAAAGGCCAGGTGTGGTGGTGCACGCAGGCGGATCTCTGTGCATTCAAGGCCAGCCTGGTCTACATAGTGAGTTCTAGGAGAGCTGGGGCAGGGAGACACTGTCTCAAAAAGGCCAAAAGAGTGAAAAAAAAACGTAAAGGAATAAGGGAGCGGGTGGTAGAGGAAAACACCTGCTGCCCCCTCCCGGCCTTTGCACACGGATCCACCACACACATAAACATAACATTACACACAGACACGCAGAGGACGGTAGAGGAGAACACCTGCTGCCCCCTCCCGGCCTTTGCACACGGATCCACCACACACATAAACATAACATTACACACAGACACGCAGAGGACGGTAGAGGAGAACACCTGCTGCCCCCTCCCGGCCTTTGCACATGGATCCACCACACACATAAACATAACATTACACACAGACACGCAGAGGACGGTAGAGGAGAACACCTGCTGCCCCCTCCCGGCCTTTGCACATGGATCCACCACACACATAAACATAACATTACACACAGACACGCAGAGGACGGTAGAGGAGAACACCTGCTGCCCCCTCCCGGCCTTTGCACATGGATCCACCACACACATAAACATAACATTACACACAGACACGCAGAGGACGGTAGAGGAGAAACCTGCAGTTCTCTCTGGCCTTTGTGCACACAGATTTGCCACACACGTATATATCGCACACAGATAAAATTAAAACAATTTTTTTTAGTTTTAAATAGATATCTGACTCTGAGGAAAGATACCCAAGGTTGACCTTGGGTACACACATGTGTACACACATGTGCACACATACACTCAAATGAGCATGGTGTTCACACACAGAACAATCCTGATCTAAGTATGGTGGCATGTACCTGTAATCCTAGCACCGGGGAGGCTTAGGGGGAAGGATCTCAAGTTAGAGGCCAACTTGGGCTACGTAGGGAGGTCCCGTCTCAAAAAAAGGGAGAGAGAATACAGTTCTGCTCTACTGCTTTGCTGGCCTGCTCTACCTTACCTGTCTGCTTTTTGGGGTTTTTTTCACTAAGCACCTGGGGTTTTCCTGAGATTGTACTGAGGCTGGCTGTACGGAACCCCTTGTGTTGGGTTTGAAGCTGACCTTTCTTGTGGTTCTTTCCTCAGGCAGTGTGTGCAGACGTAGAGAAGAGTGAGCGAGTTGTTGAATCTTGTCAAGCAGAAGTGAACAAACTACGAAGACAAATCACTCAGAGGAAGAATGAAAAGGAGCAAGAAAGAAGTAAGTGTCTTGGCGGTTTACCATTCAGTGCCAAGGAGATGGCTTTATTTACTGAGGTGGGGTACTGAGGTACTGAGGGTTGGACACAGGGCTTCCCATATGCTTCCCATATGCTAGGCACGTACTCTACCACTGAGCTACACTCCAGCTTCTCTGTTTTTATTTTTGAGACATGGTCTTTCTAAGTTACTCAGTCAGACCTTGAACTTTTATTCCTGCCTCAGCCTTCAAAGTAGCTAGAATTACAGGCCTGTATTCCCAGGCCAGACTGTGTATTACTTTAAATATCAAATTATCCATTAAATGACATGAGACTTTTTTTTTTTCATTTTTAAAATCTTAATTTTTAATTTTTATTTTATGTGTATGACTGTTTTGCCTGCATGTGTGTAAATGCCATGTGAGCACAATGCTCGCAGAAGCTAGAAGAGGGTATTGGAGCCTAGGAACTGGAGCTAGAGACAGTTGTTAGCCACCCTCTGGGTGCTGAGGACTGAACCTGGCTCCTCTGCAAGAGCAGGCAGTATTCTTATCCATTGAGCCATCTCTCAGCTTCATGAATCCATTTTTCTCCTTGGTGAGGAAAGGTCTCATGAAGTCTAGACTGGCCTTGAACTCCCTGTGTAGCCAAAGATGACCTTGAACCTCTGATTCTCCTAATTTTATACATACCCCCCACCCCACCCCCAGTGCTGGGATTAGCACCTCGACACTTTTATCCAGTGCTGGGGACTGGAGCCAAGGCTTTGTGCATGGTAGGCAAGCTCTCTATGAACTGGCCATAGCTCTGGCTTGACTTGAGCCCTTCTGTACTCAGCAAGTCCCAAGTTAACATGTTGGCAGGAAGACATTCTCTTGTCACTTAGTTTTTCCTAGTGAAAAGAACTGTTTTTCGTGGCATCCCTCAGATCTCCAAAACTGGAACAAGAAGATGAAAGATGAAACACTGAAGCAGAAGTTAGAACAGACCCCAGGAGTCTAGGGCAGATCTTTGTGAATATTGACCATATCTATTTCCACTGAAGAAATGGTTACAACCTGGCTTGTCTCACATATAAAGATGGTGTCCTGTGTTCAGGGTCAGATAAGACTTGAAATGTCTATAGAATGCATGTACACCATGGAGCCACGGGACTGACTAATTGGTAGAATGACAGTTAGGCCCAAGAATATAGTAATTTCAGAGTTATAACAAATATTTGCTACCCATCTTTTGTTTTGTTTTTTTCTTTGCGAGACAGCAGCCTGTCTTAAAATAAGCAACAACAGAGCTGGGTGTGGTGGTGCAGGCCTTTAGTCCCAGCACTTGGGAGATAGAGGCAGACGGATCTCTGTGAATTTGAGACCAGCCTGATCTGCGTAGGGAGTTCCAGGCCAGCTGGGGCTACAGGAAGACCTGTCTCATAAAAGACTGCAAAGGGGATTGGAGAGATGGCTCAGAGGTTAAGAGCACTGGTTGCTTTTGTAGAGGACCCAAGTTCAGTTACCAGCACCCACATGGTAGCTAACAACCATCTGTAACTCTAGTTCCAGTGGAACTGACACCCTCTTCTGGCCTCTGGACATGGGTGCACTTGCACACATACAGGCAATACATGCATACACATAAAATAAAAATAATAAATAAGCCAGGCGTGGTGGTACACGCCTTTAATCCCAGCCATTTGGGAGGCAGAAGCAGGTGGATCTCTGTGAGTTCGAGGCCAGCCTGGTCTACATAGTGAGTTCC